TTGGACTTGGCAATGCACCATGTCCAATGTAATGTAGGTTTAATATGCATGTCTGACCCAATACATTTGGACTTGGCAGTATGCCAAGTCCAAGGTAGCGTGCCAGACCAAATATGCTTGTATTTAATAGTGTGCCAAGTTCAAGGCAGTGTGGGTCTAGGATGCATGCCAGAAACCATATACTTGGACTTGGCAGTATGCCAAGTCCAAGGTAGCATGGGTTTGGAACGCATGGCAAACTTAATACACTTAGACTTGGTACTTAGCAAAGTTCAAGGTAGTATGAGTCTAGGATGCATGCTAGAAACTATATACTTAAACTTGATAGTATGCCAAATCTAAGGTCACGTGGGTTTGGAACATATGTCAGACTCGATATACTTGGACTTGGTAATTAGCCAAGTTCAAGGCGCTTGGACTTTGCAGCATACTAAGTCCAAAGTAGCTTAGGTCTGACACGCGTGCTCAACCCAATATGCTTGGACTTGGTATTTAACGAAGTCCAAGGCATTTGGGCCAAGCCCAAGATAGCATGGGTCTGGCACGCATGCGAGACCCAAAGCAATTGGATTTGACAGATAGCGAAGTCTAAGATAATTACTATCCTCCTTTGACATATCAAGGGTAGCAACTGACCTCCTTTAGTTTTGACGTCTTAAACTCTAGTATCTTTACTAGCTAATTGACATCTTAAAATCTAGTCTTTCTACACTTTGTTAGGTCCATCAGAATCCTTAAAAACCTATTATATTCTTATCAAGTAGAGATATTTACCCCCTTTTCAATGCTATCATGGTAATCATACTAGAAGCCCTTTTTTTTAATATAGAAACAAGATTGGCTATAAATATATCTTAAAAACTTTATAAGAAAAATGCACTCTTTTTCAATTCTCTACTACTAAGATATTTTATAATACACTGATTTTAAAGTCTTCTCAATTGAAATTGTTTTTCTTGCAAGTATTCAAGACCATCTTAATAAATTTGGAGTTATTTAAATTAAGAAGAAATCCAAATACTTAATGTATTAATCAATTAGTATTTCAAACACTAAATAATTTTTTATTTTATATATTTTTACTTTTAAACACCATCACTTTTGGAATTAAGTTTTTTCTTGTAATCTAGTAATTATTGAGGAGACTTAATTTTTTTTCTTAATTAATATGTTAAACTGAGAGAATTTCGTTGAACAAATTGAAGGTCATAGATTCAAGTATTAAATAAAAATAAATTTACAAGTGATCTTGCTTTATGTGCAAATGTTGTATCTAATTTAAAGATGTTTTTTTTTTAATATTTTCCCACCAATAACTTTTTTTTTTAAAAATCTAGTGAACTAATAAGCCTAACGTATAACGTGTCAACTATAATCAAATCATAAGCCAACAGAACAAAAATTTCATTGGCCGGGCTTATAATTTAATTCTCCTAAAAACTATGCGGGGTTGTCTAAGCAAGAATATAGTTTGGGGAGTTTATTGATAAAGCATCGAAACTTGAGGGAGAAAATTGAAATGTGTGTCTTATATTTTTTATGTCAGAGATTAAGATCGACCTCTCAAATTGCCAGCTCCAAAGAATTCTCAATCTGCAAGAACGAAAGAAGACTCTCTCAGAGCTTCTTTCTCAAAATCGAGAAATTTCCCAATTCAGAAGTTAACAGGTTATGTCTCTATCCCCTTTCTTTCTTTGTAAATCCTTTATTATGGTTGTTGAATTTGCATGTATTAAAACATCTGAAGGGCCGGAAGAGAGGAGAGGAAATGGGGGCGAAATCAAAATCTGAAAAATTTTCTGCAGAATTTGTAATGGGAGGAGCGGCAGCAATAGTATCAAAGAGCGCTGCAGCACCAATTGAAAGAGTGAAGCTTTTGTTGCAAAATCAAGGAGAGATGATTAAGAGAGGCCAACTCAAAACACCTTACACTGGGGTTCGTGATTGTTTCAAAAGGGTTTTTAGAGAAGAAGGTCTTTTTTCGTTTTGGAGAGGTAATCAGGCCAACATCATTCGATATTTCCCTACTCAGGTTCTTCTCTTTCCTTCGCCGTCTTGTTCATTGATATTACTCGCACTTTTTCTTTCTTTCTTGAATTTAATAGATATAAAAGACAACATACAAACCTTTCTTACCACAAAACCCAACATACTTCTTACACTTCTGTACTGGAAGGCTTGAACCTTCTCTTGACAGTTGATACTTCAAAGTTAAAAGGGCAGCAATTTTATCAAACCTCTATTAAGTTTGGGTTTATAGCTATAATATCATACTTAATTGCCCCATCTCTGTTGCTCGATGCTCATACTTTAATTTAACTAACTTAAACCATAAGAGTTCATGGCTCGGTTTGATAGCTAGCGGCAGTGTAATGGACGGTTACACTAGATATATCTTGGAGGAAGGGAATTTTGTGCTTTCTGAAAGCTTATGACTGCTGGTGGCTCATTTGTTGAAGGAAAGACTCAAGTCTGTTCTCTTTCTAACTATGACCGATGTATATTTTTGAAATTTGATCAAACTCTTTACAGTTTGTTTACATGAGTTGAGTTGAGTTCAGTTCAGTAAAGTTTATGGTTTCTGCTTCCTTGGTGTGGTTTTATCCAAAAAAAGATATAAAATGCTTCCACAGTGTGGATGAGATTCTATGTGAAGAAGCAGGCCTGTATGATTATAAATAAGCCATGGATAAGAATCGCATCCTTCAGCTGCATTTGGTATTAGATGTTCTGCTATTAGACATTCCTCCTGTTCTACCATGTGAAAGTGATGCAATAGGCCTCAAAAAAGAACCTCCATAAAATCCTTTTCAATTTAACCAAAGAAGCTATATTCTCAGAAAATTGCTTAATTGTTTGCAAGGATAAAATGGTGTCCAGAAGATTGATGAACTGAGGGATTTTACACCAAATAGATACTGTTTTAGTTTTCATTCCCCGAAACTGACTCTGTTTTTGTTATTTTTATAGTGTTACATGCACGTTCTAAGATCTTAAGATGACTGAATTTTGATTTTTCCAGTTTGTCTGTCTTTTAGATCTAAACTGTGTTTGGGTTTCCCTATTATTCTCTTTTTCAGCCGGTCATCATGCGCATCTTGTTTTAGTCTCCCCATTTTAGTGCCAAAGCTTAGACTCTGATAATTCGATGAGCATCTTGTATTTCTTAAAAATTTGGCAATATAATCCTGCATAATTCCACCCTACTCAACAATCAAGCATTAAGAGATTTTCAGATGCAGATACTTATCACCAAAGATCCCAAACATATCATACGATTCTCTCTCTTGAAAATACACACTTTCCATACTCAGACTACTTGACACCAATTTGAAGAAAAAAAAGACCTCATAACACCATTTCAATTTTCTGTATCATTGTTTTTTAGATCTTGGGATCAAAACAGGCTTATCTTGCCAATTATATGCTAATTATTAATCACTATTGTTGAATGCTAAGTTCATGTTTGAAATTTTATACACTGAATTAAACACTTTGAGTATGACTGCTTTAACTTTTGTTTTATGGTTGCACTTGTGACTACTGAAATACCATATGCAGCTGTGTGCCAAACATTCATATCAAAAGGATTGAGTGATTTAATTGTTTTCTACTGAAGTTTGCTGACTTGCACTTTTGTTTAGGATTTTTCTTATATCATAGTTTCTTATTTGCAATTTATGTTCCTGTCTAATTTAATTACTGAAACAGATGTTCGATTATCCATAGGCTTTCAATTTTGCATTCAAAGGTTACTTCAAGGGCCTTTTTGGATGCTCAAAAGAGAAAGATGGTTACATAAAGTGGTTCACAGCGAATGTTGCTTCTGGAAGTGCAGCTGGGGCAATAACATCATTGTTTCTGTATCATTTGGATTATGCACGTACCCGTCTAGGAACCGATGCTAGACAGTGCCCGATAAATGGTCAACACCAATTTAGAGGGTTATTTGATGTATACAGGAAAACTGTGTCAAGTGATGGAATTTTAGGTCTGTATAGGGGATTTGGGGTTTCAATAATGGGAATTAGTCTTTACAGAGGCATGTATTTTGGTTTCTATGACACCATGAAGCCAATCATTTTGGTGGGATCTTTTGAGGTAACACATCTGTCTTTGCTTGTGGACCTAGCTAGGGTGTTCTCTGTTCGAAAATGGACTTGATTTTCATGTCACCTTTTTTGACTTTTAACTATGTTTCTACATGAATTGATTTTATAGCATTGCAGGATCATTAACATGTGGTGCTAGATAGTGTCCGTGCTGGACATTAAATTTTTTAATGAATCATGATTCCGGGCATCTGATTGAAAGCTATTGGCAAGTTCTTCATAAAACCTCATCATGCTCAAAACATCTAACTCTTCAGTGGGTTTATTTCCTGATGACTAGTAATAATTCTGCTTGCAGTTAACTATCTATGAATTTGAGGGGGTACACGTGATGCTATTTGTTGTCAGCTCATGCAATTAATTGCATCTGAGTATTGTGCTTATTGTTGGTGTATTTTTCAGGGGAATTTCTTTGCTAGTTTCTTGTTAGGTTGGAGCATCACCACTGTATCTGGAGTCTGCGCTTATCCCTTTGACACTCTGAGACGGAGAATGATGCTTACTTCTGGAAATCCTGTGAAGTATCGCAACTCCATGCATGCTTTTCATGAGATCATTCGTCTTGAAGGTTTTCAAGCACTATATCGAGGAGTTAGTGCAAACATGCTTGTTGGAGTGGCAGGAGCTGGAGTACTTGCTGGGTATGATCAGCTGCACAGAATTGCAGTTAGATATGGCTATGTTTTGGAACCACGCCAGAATACCATGAAGTAATCCTTCGCATGCTATTTGAACATTGCTGTAGCTTCATTCGCTGATTCTCATGGTAAAATGGGGGTGGGAATGCTTGTAAAATAGACCTGTGAAATTGATTTGTTGTTCAGGTTTTACCCTGAACGCCTATGGAATATGAAGGGATGCTTCCATGATCATCATCTTGAAAACCAAAATGAGCATTCAACTGGAAAAGGAGGATGGGCCAAGACAATGGCCTGGATTAAACTAAAGGAAGGATCATATGGTTCCTTCAATGTAATAAATATATCAATCATTCAAAATTTAAGGTCTTGCTATTCAAGGCTTAATGGCCGAATGGAAGAAACAGTTGGCCCCACTTTTTAATGAAATCCAGCTGGACCTTGTATTTTTATGCATTCATGTATATGATATGTACAAGTTATATTTTTATTATATTTATATTTTATTCATTATTTAATATATAGATAATTATTTATAGTTTATATATTGGACATTTATGTGTATTTATTACCTGTGTATTTTTTATTATTTAGCATAATATATATATATATATATATATATATATATATATAGCATAAGTTGATTTTTTTATCTCATTTAAAAAAAAATTCAAAATAAGCTAAACCAATTAAAAAAAAGGAGTTTTCAAGGCATTTTTATCTCACATGATTGTTTTTGTAATTTTTAATTTTTTTTCTTATTGATATCTTCTCAAAAAAATAAAATTAAAAAATATGTTTTTATTGAATCTATATTAACATTGTTTTGTTTTAAAAAAATAAAAATGTTAAAAAAATAATGAAAATAGGAAGCAAAAAACATAAGGGACTGAATTTGTGAAAAGAAAAATTAGAGATCAAAGTGAAATTGAATTGGAAATAAGTAATTAAAAAGAAGATAAAATTTGTGGGTTATAAATAAATAAGTGAATTACATAGAAAAGGGCTACCATATTAAAAAAAATCTTATTCATCATCTTCTCCACCAAAACCCTAGCTACTATAAATATTTTTAGAGAATGAAATGTGGAGAAATAAATCCTAGAAGAACATTATTCATATTTTCATACCTTTCTATAATAATAATAATCCATGACTTTATCTTTCGCTCTTTAAATTCAAAAAAAATTTCTTTGATTTCTTTCACCTCTGATCTCCTTTTGTAATGAGACTAACATGATAAAAAAATTATTGTCTTCTTTCAAGTATAGGAGTATTGAAGTAATAAATAACCCGACATGACCAAGGTCGAACCACATGAAGGTTAAATGTATAAATTATAAATAACAACAATACATCAACAACAACAACAACAACAACAACAACAAGAATAATAGAAAAAGTAGTAGTAGTAGTAGTAGATGAATAATAAGAAGAAGTTGATGAGAACTTTGAGATGAAAAATTAATATAAGGATTAAGTAATGATAACAATAAATATCAAGGTTAGAGGATCCACTAATAGTATTTCAAATAAGTATAGTATAAATGATTAGTACTTAAAAGTGCATTTTTATCAAGGTTTTATGTCATCATTTTGCACTTGAAGTATCAATAACTCTTTAACTAAAACATGTTTTATAATAATATATCTAATAATATAAGATACCTTTAATTTATGGTAAATGTTTATTTTAAATGCAGAACTATCACATAAATGAAAAGATTGATTGATGAATTTAAGAACTGAAATTGAAAGGATAAAGAGATGACCATACTTAGAAAAGAGATACCGGTGCAGTCCAAACCGGAACACTATTTGGTCATTGGGTCATATCTAAAGCTGTAGATCTCAGATTTAGGTCTACTTTAAATGGATGAAAAGGTAAGAGATAGGCCTACAACTTTCATAAGAGTCCAAGATCTAAAAAGACTATTTTCAAGTCCAAATTGGAGCAACAACAAACAAGTCAAAATTTATCCTCCAGCCCGAGCACTGTTCAGT